CAAAAAGAAAAAGAAAGAATTAACTGCAATTAATGTCCCTATCTTTCACTATTATTGTGAAAAAGTCCATATTTTTTTTTGCATTTTCACTTATAATTACACTTTTAACTGTGCAAACCATTATTTTTATCAATTTTTATCCAATTTTTCAATAAAACGCTGTGAAGGGTATATTCATCATTGCACATATTTTAATTGAAAAATGGATAAAAATGACTTTTTTCCGCAATGAAAGGTAGAAATAAGGGTAAAAGTAAAAAAAAAAAATGAAAGGTAAGGACGTTATCTACAATAATAAGAAAAGGTAAGAACGTTATGTGCTAATTACCCTATAAATTATGATCCTAAATATTTCAAAAATTCATTTGCGTGTAAATCCTTTGTACATGCGAAATTAATTGTATTAAAGATGCCATGGTATGGGAAATTTAGAATGATAAACATAGATTAAGATTTTGAGGATTTACGAGCTTTGAGATGTTAGTTAATCAACGCTCTTATCTTCCGAGTAAATTTAACTCATTGCAATAAATCGCTTTTGTCCATGATTTACGAACTTACTTTTAGATGTTAGTTAATTAATACTCTTTATCTTTCGATTAAATTTAACTCATTGCAATTAATTATTTTGGCCCTTGTTAGTTTCCCATTCCATATCATTAAAATAAAGAAATCTTTTTGACGATGCAATAAAAGTTACAAAAATTTTACATCATGATAAAAATACCCTTTGGTGCCTTTATTCGAAATTGTAAAATTGGTAAGGGGCATAATGAAAATACATTTATGACTGATATATTAAAATAAATTAAAATGTAATATCCGTCCTATGAAAAACATCATTACATCATCACCATCTGTCACTTACCACTCAATTCTTTTCAATCTATTCACATTTGACTTGTAACCAGTAACCACCGCACTACCCATCTCAATTTATTTTTCGAATTTAAGAAATTAAAAACTGAATTTGTATTACCTTTTTCTTTTTTTTGAATAAATATAAAATAATTATTAACAATAATCTAATTATAATGCACTCCCATGACTAATATACTCTAGTTTTTGCTTCTTATATCTCAAAAAAA